CGGAAGGTTTTGAAACCCTATACCTGCAAGACTGCTGCTTAGCGGCTGAAGACTTGAAGTCGGTGGCGATGTGGCTTGTCGCACTGCTGGACCTGGGGCGGGAATGTCTAGTGATGTCTAACCGGGGTAGACCGACATTTAGCGTGAAGTCAGCAAATCAGAGGACATGAAGAGTGACAAGACATGCGATCCCAGCATAACCGCGGCGCAAGTTAAAATGCAGCAGCACTCGGACATCATTCCTTCCTTTTTGCGCTCGCACCTTCTTGAGTCTGCTCGGTTTCTGGTTAGAAGATGGCGGGGGTAAAGACAGCAGGTGGCAGATGGAACACTCATCCTCTCACCTGTCCGCTGTTGCTCAGCAGCATCTCGTATCCCCCCACATGTAACAAGCCAGAGCTGTACTGGCTTCAGCGGCAAGCTCAAAGTCAACATGCATCAAGGGTGAAATCCAAAGCATGAAAATCGATGCACTGTATGCACAAGAAAATAAAATAACTGCGGGCAAGAGGTGCGGGGCACAAGAGAGGGTCAAGTCACGAAGAGGTAATTTTTCATGTACTTTCACTTTTGACAGTCGGTTGCGCTCCGTTCCTACGCCAACCCCAGTAGACTGCGGCACCTGCGAGCAGGCACCCAACGTACCTACTGGGCTCAGGGTCTTAAGGCGGAGTGCAGCACAGTGTGATGGCAACTTAAGCTGCGCGCGTTGCATCTGCCTATGTGCGAGGGCTAGAGGTGACAGACCTTGCGGGCCTGTCATTTGGTAGGACATGTGGAATGCACCCGAATGACTGCACACTAATAGCCTGCTGGGCGGGGTGGATGGCGCCGAGTCGATATGTGGCACTGCAGCCACGCTGGTCCTTTGCAGACCTTGTCGAAGAAGGAGATGTGGCAGTCGCGCGCAGGCATCAAAGCAACACCCCACTTGTTGCAGAGCAGCTTCGTAGGCAAACATGACCGAAGATTGACGGAAGCCCTCCTCAAAGTGAGCATGAAAAAGCCTGGAGTCTTGCTGAGTCGGTTCTCAACCAGCGTTCTGTAGCTGTGTATATCATGGAGTTGGACTCTCGAAGAATAACAGCGATGTCCGCGGTGAGCTGTCGAGCAACCTGGGCCGCGAGCGCACGGTCAGCCATCTGTCCGATCATGATGTCGGCTTCCCAGCTCCAAGCCACTGGTGGCTGAACAACTGCAGAGAACGGCAGAACCGTGGACACCAGAGTATCCTGCACTGCCCCGGTTGTTGCAGACACCTCCATTATAGGCGCCTCCGAAATTGAAGCAGCAGTCTCAACGGACTGCGTGACTCCGATCACTCCTGCAGCGAGGGATGTACTTGCAAGGGGCATGTAGTGAGATGCGACAGATCCATAGTCAGGTTTGGGCCGATCTCCTCAGTACCTGTCGGCGGCATGACTGATGCCAGGGCTCGTGAGTCTTCCAAGGACCGACCATGTCCGTCCGGACATGCCAGGGTATATGTCGCTTCCCCCTTCAGTGCAGATTCATCCGCTGTTAGGGTTGCCAGATTGGCAGCAGCGGTATCTTCCGATGACTCTGTATCCATCGCAACTTCAGCTGCATGTGAGATGCATGCGGTAAGCTGCATTGAGTCCAATGTTGGGCCTGGGCCAATCTCAACGGAACCAGTCAACTGTCTGCTGGTAGATCAGCAGAGGTCAGGCCCTGTCCATCCTGATGTGTCCAGAGAGGGGCCTCTCCAGTACTGACGAGCTCCATGGGATCCGAGGAATCCTCCAATGGCCATTTTCTGGCCAAGCGCCCACATAAGTATGCCAGCAGCGTAAGGAAAGTAAGACGCCCTGCAACCATGGCTCTCACTACGCAAGCAATCGAGTCAGCTCGAGTGCCTCTACGACCCTGAAGTCAGAGGGAGAGGAGGGAGGGTCTAGGAAAGAGACCGCTGACCAACGCACAAACGCAAACCAAGAGGAAACCACACCAACACCCCCGCTACTGTATCTATCTATGAGCCAGGGGGCTTAAGCATGTAAACAACATTGAGTAAACACAAGTATCGTTCACAAGACTTTTATTACGACAGCCAGCTAAACTAAAGCAAGCTCACAGCGAGACTGTTCTTTTGACTGGTGGTGCAACGGCTGAAGCAGTGTAGGCAGAAAGCTGAAGCAGCAAAGCTGTTGCTGGAGCCCCACAAAGACTGCCAGGAAAAACGGGAGTCTCGCTGCACCACCAAATGAAACGGTGAGACGACCCTGCTTGCGAAGATGTTTAGCAAGATATGCTTGGTTCGACTTTGGCATCGTCCCCGCAAAGCATGGGGAGGCCGTAAACAGTCGGATATACTTGGCATGTCCCCGTAAAGCCTGGGGAGGCCGTAAAAGCGAATCCATACGACTTTGGATGACCCGAAACGCATGGGGAGGCCCAAGAAAACGGTCACTCTTGGCATATCCCAGCAAAGTGGGGGATGCCGAAAAGGCAATCCATTCAACTTTGGCATGTCCCCGCAAAGCATGGGGAGGCTGTAAACAGTCGAATACACTTGGCATGTCCCCGCAAAGCCTGGGGAGGCCGTAAAAACCAATCCATCCAGATTCGGCATGTCCCTGAAAAGCATGGGTAAGCCGAAGAAAACGGTCACTCTTGGCATGTCCCCGCACACCTGGGGCTAGTAAAGCAACCCATTCGACTTCGGCATGTCCCCGAAAAGCACGGGGAGGCCGTAAGAAACATTCGATACCAGTAATGTCCCCACAAGCCTTGGCATGTCTCCAAGAAAGGCCAGGGAGCCCGTCCCCACAAAATCTGGGGCGGCCGAAAAAGGTTCCCCAAACATCGTTGCAAAGGAAGATTCGGCATGTCCCCGCAAAGTATGGGGAGGCCGTAACAACGATGGTCACATTTTGGCATGTCCCCGTAAAGTCTGGGGAGGCCGTAAAAGCCAATCCATATGACTTTGGCATGTCCCCGAAAACTTGCGGGAAGCCGTAAGAAAATGGGGGCACTCTTGGCCTGTCCCCGCAAGCCTGGCGATGCCGTAAAAGCGATCCATTCGACTTTGGCAATGTCCCCCAAAGTATGGAGGCCGTAAATAGTCGGACACATTTGGCATGTCCCCACAAAGCCTGGAGAGGCTGTAAGAGTAATCCATCCAACTTTGGCATGTCCCCACAAAGCACGGGGAAGCTGAAGAAAACGGTCACTCTTGGTATGTCCCCGCAAAGCCTGGGGGGGCTTCCCACCTCGAATATATGTGCCCGTCTTCTGAATAAAAGATCTAGAGTTTCTTTCTTTCCAACTTCTCGCAAAAGGAACGTGCCGCCTCGGAAGAAAGCATTTTACATGAATCACAAGCCTAGTCATTCCTGGTCTTTGACCATCTGGCCAAGCCTGCTAAAGCATGGCTGGCCGCCCGAAAAATCCGTTTTCTGCTCCGCAACAAACCTGTCGTGGATGTAACTGCGAAAAATGTCCTCCAACTGTCGTCTTTCTGCTAAGGCGAGCTTGAGCGTATTTTTCTCTGCCGAGGAGAAGACGCGCGAGCGATGGAATTGTCTGAACGATGACAACACTCCTCCTTGCGACACCTGAAAATGTTGGGGGTACGGACAGGGAATACTCCAGCAAAAGGGAGATGTCTAAATGGCAATGGTCGACTTCTGCCTGGTGATCAAAAGCACTAAATCAAAAACACCAAAACTAGCAGGCACAGGAATCTAACCCCAAAGGAGCAAACAGCAGGGGAAGGTCAGGTGATGCCCGCAAGCAGTTGAGCTCACCTACCAGTGGCAGCTGCAGGCAAGGGCTGATGCAGTAAAGAGACGACCAACTCAAAAAAAATTCGAACTCTGAGGATCGTCCGTGGAGGTCCAAAACTATTGAACTATTGTTCAACCAGGGGACCACACCTCACTCCTACATTGCGTTCTGCAATCCAATTCAATGACGCTCTTAGTCGTCTTAGAAGTGCAGAGTTGAGCACACACACACACAGACACAAAAGTCTTTAGCTTAAGTCATCCTATGTCTGTTAGGATTCTAGATTCTAGAATGTCAAGGCACTTCCCCAGAAGATCCTAATGTGGAACATCCCCACATGCAAGGAATCTGGCGATGAGTGACACGGTCATGGAGGTCTGCAAACATGAGAACACTGAAAGTTTCAGCCGCCCATACCCTCAGCCCAAACCCCAGACCCTAAACCCTCCCTACACCATAACCCGACACCCTAAATCTCCCCCCCCCCAAATCCTGCATTCAGCTTCCAGGAAGGCCAGCCCTGTCCCGGCCAGCTTCTCCCAAGTGAAGCCTGCTCCGATGCTGGTGTTTTTAGGGCTTTGGCGGCTTCTGGGGCCTTTGGGGCCTTTGGGGTTTTGGGGTTTGGGTGAAGTATTCTTCAGGGAAGTGCGGGGGTCAGCCATCAGCGGTTTGTCCCCGCGCCTTGATTCGTTCTGGGTTTGGAACTCTTACTGTCAAGGCTGTGGCATGTTGGTTGGGTTGATTTCCTTCGGTGCACCGTTTCCCTTGTTTTCCGGTCATCCAGAGAGCAGCAGAAGTAGCCGGGCGCGGCGTTTAAAACGGCAATAGAAGTTAATTAAAAAAGAAAGAGAAAGCGGCGCGCCCGCAGGGCGCGCCGCCGTGCAAAACGCCGCGTCTTATTTTGAGGCTGCTTTTAATACGGCCGTGGCCGTTCTAAGCGCTGCGTCTAATATTAGGGGGATCATTTGCCATGGCTGAGAGCCGTGCTAAATGCCGCGTCTAATTAAAGGGTCTCGCTTAAGACGTCCTCCGTTCCCAAAGCTTCGCAGGCTAGCAAGCTTGAAGCAAGTCTGAAACTGCACCCTAAAGCTTTGCAGGGTCAAGCAAGCTTGAAGCAAGTCTGAAACCGCACCCTAAAGCTTCCCTCGATTGAAGCAAGCGCAAGATTAGAAACTGCAGCCTACCTGGGCTTGAACCAACCCTCCAACCCCCGAAAGCACCCTAAACCTGCAAAAAGCATGGAGTTTCGCTCACTCATCATCCTCGAAGAGGAGGCTGTGCTCGCTCTCATCGTCAACAGCTTCGCACTGCGGGTCTTCACTCACATTGCGCTGTACAAGCTGCGGTTCGAAAGCAACTTTGAACTCCGTCAAGTTGCACCACTTGACATTGTCTACACCGGCTCTTGCGAGTTCCCGCAATTTGCCGTAGACAGCAAACATGTCACAACCTGCAAACCACATCTTAAGTTGAAAAGCACGCGTATGGAAATGCATGAGCTCTTCCATACGCGGCGCTGACTCGTCTGAGGCTCCGACAGTGTTAAAAGGTTTCCGTCCTACAACTCTGCGGAAACTTGCAAAAAAACCGTCTAGCTTCTGCGTGCCACCAAGTCTCACTTGCTTCTCGAAAGACTCACCTGTCCAGACATTGACCTCAAAGCGCTTCGTGAACTCTGGATGCGGAGGCTTGTGCTTCACTGCTGTGTGTGCAAGCTTCAACCCGAACTTTGTGAGGCTACCGTCAACGAGAGGTCCTTCAGTTGTTGGGCTTGCAAGCGCTCTGTAGGCCTTGGCGCCGTCGGTGTGGCAAACTGACCCTTCTGCCAAAACGGGTTTGTCCGACTCCAGCAGTAGGGCCTTCATCTCCTCCAAAGAAAGAGGCCGCCTCCACCTTGGCCAGCTTGAGTCACGCGGTATGGCAAACGCTGCAACCACACCTTGCTTGAACCACGCCTGGCCACACCAATGTACCTCAGCCACACGATGCCTCCCGGTCTTCCGACAGAGCGAAAGCCACTTCTTCCAAACTGGGTTTGAACCCAAAAGACCAAAAGCCACAACTGAAGAATCACAGAGCACATAGCAGGAGCTGCATGTCCCTCACATTTTCATCAGTGGGCGAACCAATGATCGCATCCTAGCATGTGCCGGTGCACACAACACGGTGCACATACATTGCACATGTGTCTCACCATACCCTAGTGAACCTCAAGCCCCCTTTGAGGGCGAAGTAACTGTACATGCAATACTAATATGACTGCCGATGGCGCACAGGGAGTTGCAGCCGCGTCAGCGGGCCCTGTCTTTGTGATGCCCTGGGTGGGCTGGGCGGGTCAAAAATTTTCGCACTGAGCTGTGGAGCCAGCGCTGCACACACAGATCTCCAGCAAACGAAGTTTGCAAATTGTCGTTCGCAATACCAAGCATGACAAGCATCAGAAACTTTTGGGTTACAAACCAAGAACAAACGGCACACACCGTTTTTCGAAGAGACATTATGGAAGCAAACGGTAAAACACCATTCGCTCGCGAACAGTAAGCTTACCGCTTGTTCCAAACTGGGTTTGAACCCAAACCAAAAGCCACAACTGAAGAATCACAGAGCACATAGCAGGAGCTGCATGTCCCTCACATTTTCATCAGTGGGCGAACCAATGATCGCATCCTAGCATGTGCCGGTGCACACAACACGGTGCACATACATTGCACATGTGTCTCACCATACCCTAGTGAACCTCAAGCCCCCTTCTTAGCCGACAGACCAAGGCAGATGGCATCCAGGTGCTCTGACACGTCGGAACACGGGACACTGATGCCACCCCACAGCAAGTGCTGGGTCACCAGTCTTGACGGGTGATCTGCGCAGTTCGACGGGGAAGGGACTCGCGAGAACCAAGGGATGAACTCGCACCCCACCTCCAAGCCCACAAACATTGTAAGCAGATTTTTCACTATTGGGGACCTACCCCGACAGGAAATCAAAATATCCCTAACCGCATTGTTGTCGACGAACGCCACACCAGGTGAATGCGCAACCCTTTTGCCCCAAAAAAGGCGGAACGCAAGCAGCACCGCAACAAACTCCGCCTCCATTATAATTGTGTCCTTGTTAAGCTCACCTAGGAGCTTGCGGGCATCACTGCCAAGGGCGTGAGAGAAACCAGCAACCAACACACCCTTGTCATCAAACAGGAGACCGCCCACGCCGCAAGGCAGTACGGGATCGTCTTTCGAGTAGGATGCATCAGTGAAGACATACCAGGTTTGCTGCTTGCTAACCTGTACTAGTCGAGGACGGCCGCTTTCCAACATGTCGACAAGAGAGCTGAATGTGTCGATGCACTCAGCCGGCAGATCGGGAGGGGCACAACCGTGGGCGTACTCCGAGAGCTGTTGCAAGCAAAATTTGCTCTGGCGTCCAAACAGCTGTCCACTTGCAAACTGAAGTTTTCCTCTCAGCTTGAGAGCTTGAGGCACACTCATGCGCCGGTCCTTCTGGGCCTGCTTCATTGTCTCAACGAGGAGATGAACTCTCTTCTCCGTATTGCAAATAGTCACACGACCCAAGTGGGCACTTGATAGCACTATGTCTACCCCTAATGCACAAAAGGCCTCGGCAAACGGTACATCCTTCTTTCCACCCTGGGCGAGGTCCCATCCCAACAAGGTGAAGAGCAAGGTGATTGTTTGGTGCACATTGGCCACCTGTGTGCCTTTAGCAACCGACACAAAGTCATCAAAGTAGTGGGACCAGCAAAGGGCGAAAAAGAATGCACCAAGGTGCCAAATCGAATTAACGGTTCTCAGAAAAGTCGACACCGACTTGACAGCCCCGAAAGGGAGGGCATGTAGCTGGAACACTACTACCCTCTTCAGGTCAGGATCCCACAACCCAATGTACGAGGCCCAGGCCCCTGTAGGGTCCAGAGCCAATTGCCTGTAGGCACTGACCAGGTCATAGAACCTTCCCTTGAGACTACAACCTGGCTGCACTCGCATCAGAGACAGGCACATGCCTGCGATGACGTCAACGGTCTGGGGGCGCACAGTCTCCAATGTCTCGACGGAGCTATTGATTCCTGACCCTGAGAAGTCGTCAATCAACCTGATCTTCCCATCCTGCTCGATCCCGAACCTTCGAGACACGATGGCATCAGGTGGTAGCTGGTCCACCTCGATGGGACCTGACAACCAGCCCCTATCGCGCTCCTCAAGGGTTTTCGTTTGGACCTCGCGATCGAGGGACTCCCCCTGGGACTTGATAGTGGACAACAGGGCCGCCCTAGAGGTGGGGGCATCTCTTTTGAGCTGCTCAACCGTGACCGACGCCGGCTTGAACTTCGGGGCAAACACACCTGTATCAGGCACCGGGCCTCCCAGGTTAGTACCTGAGATCACTTCATCAAAGATGGCCACATCATCATAGGAAGCCTCAATCATCATTGCCTTCCACAAGAGGAGACGCTTAGGCTTGAGGATCGTCGAGACCTGTTTGTGCATAGACGCCTTCAGTGCATCTTCCTCACTTCTGAGGTCTTGTGCAAGTTTGAGCCACTTTGCAAACTGTCGCGCCCTCAACCCGCACAGCTCCGACTCTGTCATCGAGTGCACACCGCATCTTTGAGAACCTGTGGCAAGGCGACCTCGAGAGTTCTGGGATGGCCAGCCTTGACTGCCTCACGGACAAACTGTTCCGGGGAAAAGGGAATACCCCAAACAAGCTCGTTCCAGAGCTCAGAACCAGCACTACAACCCTTGCCCCCGGAGCCACCACTTGAACTCCCCTGCAACCGGGACATTTGCAGCAGTTGGGCTTCGGCTGGCACCGAGCGCTCGGGGCAGACGGCCACGTGTGGCAGTGGCCACGGGTCCTTAAGGCGGGCACGCAGGGGGACAGGACAAGAGACATGCGGAGGGATTCTTACCCGCAAAATGCGAGCATGTTCGGGCACACGGGGCCCCGTCACAGAGGCCTTCGGCTGACTACCAACTTGGCCACGGACAAGCGACAGCTGGAGGCCCGCAGGTGAGAGCGGTCGGGGCGGGCAAGCCTGAAAGAAAGCTTGGGCCAGAGCACGGGCCAGTGGCAGTGGATATGCAGCTTCCAAGGAAGTAGAAAACCGTTAGGCGCGTCCGGCGCCACACCCCACGGCAGGTGACGTTGGGCGCATGAGTGCCCTGGGCAGGACTTGCATATGCCGTCAAACGCACCCCGAGTATACGCAATAGCCGTCCACTTGGGACGACGGTCGCCATATGCGCAGCTTTGGAACGCAGTGAACTGAAAGAGGTGCGCGATTCGTGCAAACATGGAAGTGCGCCAGTAGAAGCTCTGCCTGGGGTTCTCCACCCCGATAACAAGGTCGCGAGAAGCAGCTTCAAGGACCAGGTCAGACACACAGTCGTAAAGCTGATTTGCCAAGGTGACCCGGAGAAGGGCCTGCCCACCCAGCTGCGGTACTCCGTTCGGAAACTTTTCCGAGCGGAGAGGAGGGGGTCCAGGAACACCTTTAACTTCCCTTGCCCGGCTGGCAGTCCCACACGGTGGAGCGAACCAAATGCCCACGCAGTTGGGCATGGCAAGCCAACGTCGAACCAACTCGACGCCTTCTGCAGTACACAAGTCGACAAGATGAACATGACAGGCGGCGCCGGGCAGGCGTCTATGGTCAACAGCGACGGCATGCCTGCCAAAGATCACTGGCACATGACTGAACCATGGCAGGGCCGCCGTGTTGTCCTGGTAGCATATGCGCTGCCTCATATGCCCTCAGTCAAGCTTGAGGTCCCCCAAGCCCTCCTTGAGCTTGGCTTTGCCCTGCCACCAGACTTCCTTCCACGGCATGTCCAGGCTCTCGGCCTGCCTCAAGCAACTTGGACAGGCCTAACGTCTTGCCCGGGGCCTTCACACCAAACGCCGCCCCCAGAGAAGCTGGAGAGCTTGAACACCAGATTGGGGGTCGGCCCATTGTGGGAATCACGATGAGGCTCAGTGGGGATGTCACAAAATATGGCCAGAGAAGTGAAAACCGCAGCCGGCCGTCGTTGCCGAACGAACGCACAGAGGACCTGCGTGACTTTTGGGAAACGAGAAACATTGGCCCGAAGGCCCAGCACACCCCCTCTCCGGAACATACCAGTGAAAAACGAGCTGCCCGACGCAGCCTTGTGGGGAGCCTCGTGCGGAAGAAGCTCCCACAGGGAGAGCACAGAATGAGATCCAATGAGTTGGCCCTGCAAAAGTTGCTCAGCAAGTTCTTCAGGGTCATTGCAAGCAGCACATGAATTCAGCTGGGAGGTTGGCTTGGGAGCGAGGGAAACTGGGGGCTCAACCTTGTGCACAGATTGACTGACCACAACGGGAGCCGCAGATCCAGTTTCTACAGGTGGCGGAACGGCTGTCAACACGGGCTCGTCCGAAGTTGAGCCAGCAAGCCCCGCCTCCAGCACTGACTGTCACTCCTTGTGATCCCGGATAGGGTGCGGTTGGAAACACTTGCAACACAGGTGCTTGCGGGGGCACGTGGCTGCGGAACACTTGCGCTTGTCCCCATGCAGATTGTAATCGAAACATAAGGGTTCACCCGTGGGAGCATTGGCCACACCCCCTTTCTGGAGGATCTCTTTCGGGACGCGAGCGGTGAGGGAATACTTGCCCTTGCCTTTGCCACCGCCCTTGGGGCCACCCTTGACCCTTTTATCTCCAGGCTCGAGCTTTCGCTTGAGCTCGCGGCGCTCCTTGTTTCCATTGCCTTGCTTTTGTGGAAGCGGTATCAAGGCCATTGAGACATGGTAGCTTTCAAGCGCTGAGATTAACGCATCATCCATAGGGAAGCTTCCATCTGTGGCTGCGCGCGGTTGGA